GGGGGAGGGGAGAGCGCCGGGCTGGTGGCCGGGTACCTCGGCCCGCCGCCCAGCGTGGGGAGGGGGCTCCTTTCTTTCTTCTTCGGGCTGCTTTCTGCTCAGCTCCCTTTCTCTGGGCCCCCAGAAAGAAAGATGAAAGTGGGGCCACAGAAAGGGAAACGGCCGAGAGGGCCGTTCCTGACCCGCAGAGGCCCGTGACCCCCCGCGGGGCCAGTGGTGACCACCCGGCCTCTGGTCTGACCCCGTGGCGTGGGCTTATTTGTTTGAGAAGGAGCCCGAGGGTGCCCTCCCTGGACAGACGGGGTTGGAAAAGCCCTCGGGATGTCCAGAAGTTGGCAAAACACAGGGACGCTAAGAGGTTGAAAGCCTCCCGAAGCGGTCAAGCCACCCTGGGGGACAGTGGGCTATACATCTGATAAGACAAAGGTCAGGCGATGTGCCCTCGGCCAGGGGCCGGACAAGGGGGCGGGAGGGCCGGCCTGGGGCCAGGCAACGCTCCCGGTGGGGTCCCCACGTGTCCCTGCTCACGGGCCTCTCTCTCTCCTTCAGACTCACTGCTCCTAAGATCCCGGAAGGGGAGAAAGTAGACTTCGATGTAAGTTTATGGGACCTGGGGCAACACGTCCCCAGACCCAGCCCCAGCCCCAGGCCTGAGAAGGTCACCTCTCCATCACCCAGAGCCAGGGCTTCCCGACCCCAGGCAACTCCTGGACCAGAGGAAAGTCCTCCCTCAGGACATCTCTCTCCCTTCCCTCCATCCACTCACCCAGGCACCAATCCATGCGTCGCCCATCCATCCGTCAGCCGGTCACCTGTCCTGTCTTCCATTCGTCCATCCACAACCCACCCATCCACCCGCCATTCACTTTCCCATCCGTCCACCCAGGTGTCCCTCCTCTCTGCCTGGCTCGTGCAGGACATCTCAGGATGGTGACAGGGCCTAGCCAGAGCTAGTCCATCCCGGGGGTCCTGATGACTTCACGGCTGTGCAGGGACTCACCCACGAGGTGGGGGGGTCCCATCCGACCCTGTAGCCCCGGGATCCCTTGCCGCTCGCAGCTCTCACGGCACGGCCACGACCGGGGGAGTCAGGGCTGCTCTGCTGGAGCGCAGGAGGGCCGGGCGGGACTGACGGCCCCTTTGCCCACAGGACATCCAAAAGAAGCGCCAGAACAAGGACCTCATGGAGCTGCAGGCCCTCATCGACAGCCACTTCGAGGCGCGCAAGAAAGAAGAGGAAGAGCTGATCGCGCTCAAGGAGAGAATCGTGCGTGGGGCAGTCCGGGAGGGGGCGGGGGCCGCGGTCGCCTTCCAAGGGGCCGGGGCTGCCCGGGCTGGGCTGACCCGCTTCTCGGGCCGCAGGAGAAGCGCAGGGCTGAGAGAGCCGAACAGCAGCGGATCCGCGCCGAGAAGGAGAGGGAGCGCCAGAACCGGCTGGCGGTGAGGACCCCGAGCCCTCCAGCCCCCTGGGAAACGCTAGGGTCCCTGCCCTTCCTGCTCCTGAGGGTACCCCGACACTGGCCAATGACCAGAGCCCTGCGAGACCCCCGGGGGAGGGCAGACCCCGGCCAGGGCCTGGAGCTTTGAGAGAGGGCCAGGTCCGGCCGGGTCCTGGAGGCCTGCCTGGAGGGGGCAGCCTGGCCCAGCCCTGAGGACCGTGGGGACGGGGTCTCCGCAGGAGGAGAAGGCCCGGAGGGAGGAGGAAGATGCCAAGAGGAGAGCCGAGGACGACCTGAAAAAGAAGAAAGCTCTGTCCTCTATGGGCGCCAACTACAGCAGCTACCTGGCCAAGGTGAGCGCAGGGGCTCGGGCCCGGGGCAGCCAGCCTCTGTCTCCATCCCCGGCCTCCCGCCTTTGGGCCTGTGGGCTGGGCCGTGCCGCGTCCCTCCCTGAGGCCGGGCCGCTGGGCTGTGTCCCCCCAGGCTGACCAGAAGAGAGGCAAGAAGCAGACGGCCCGGGAGATGAAGAAGAAAGTCCTGGCCGAGAGGCGCAAGCCGCTCAACATCGACCACCTCAGCGAGGACAAGCTCAGGTGAGGGGCCTGACCCGGGGGCAGGGGGGCGGTGCCCTCACTGAATCCGCCAGCCTCGGGGTCTCCTTGAGGTCTCGGGGCAGGACAGCGGGTGGCCAGGGCTCATCCGGCCAAGCCCGACCTTTGCCACTCCCCAGGGACAAGGCCAAGGAGCTGTGGGACACCCTGTACCAACTGGAGACCGACAAGTTCGAGTTTTCCGAGAAGCTGAAACGCCAGAAATACGACGTGAGTACAGGCACCTGGGCCCTCGGGCCCCGGGTCTCATTGGCCAGCGGTGTCCCCAGGTCCCCACAGGCCCTGCTCCTCCCACAGGGAGCAGCGGGCAGAGGCCCTGGGTCCAGTTTCTGAACCACCCAGGGCTGGTAGAAAGTCCCCAAAGTCACGAACTCACCACTTGGAGTCTCCTGAGAGGGGCTCACAGATCCCTGTGCCAACACCGGACTGGAGTCTACATGGGCCCTGGGGAGGGCGCCAGTCCCAGTGACACCTGTTGCTCCTGAACTCAGGCACTTTCAGCCTCAGCACCACGGGCCCAGTGCCCGCCCTTCACTCTCCCAGGGCCCCCGGAGGCCGGTCCACCCTGCCAGCCACTGACTAGAGGGTGTTGGGGCACCAGGACCAACAACCGGGCAAATCCTGGCTCCTTCTCAGGAGCCCTGTGCCCTTGAGCAAGTCGCCCAGTCCTTCTGTGCCTCAGTTTCCTCAGCTCTAACAGAAGGACAACCATCACACTCCTCCCGGCCGCCCCCAGGAGCACACACTCTCCGCAGGCCAGCAGGGCCGGGCACGGGGACAGCGGCTCTCTCTCGATACTCCCGGGNGCTCCTGAACTCAGACACTTTCAGCCTCAGCACCACAGGCCCAGTGCCCGCCCTTCACTCTCCCAGGGCCCCCGGAGGCCGGTCCACCCTGCCAGCCACTGACTAGAGGGTGTTGGGGCACCAGGACCGACAACCGGGCAAATCCTGGCTCCTTCTCAGGAGCCCTGTGCCCTTGAGCAAGTCGCCCAGTCCTTCTGTGCCTCAGTTTCCTCAGCTCTAACAGAAGGACAACCATCACACTCCTCCCGGCCGCCCCCAGGAGCACACACTCTCCGCAGGCCAGCAGGGCCGGGCACGGGGACAGCGGCTCTCTCTCGATACTCCCGGGTGGGCTGCCTGCAGGAATGGGCGTCAGGCCCCCAGAACCAGACCGGCCCTGGCCTCCAGACACGTCCAGGCACAGCCCACGAGGGTCCCGGGGCTGGAAGAGCCATGAGGGTCCTGGCCCAGGCAAACCCAGTGCGAGGCAAACCTAGGCCTCGGCCACCCACCCAGCCCTGTAACTGTCTTGGTCTTTCCAGATCATGACTGCCCGGGCCAGAGTGGAGATGCTGGCCAAGTTGTAAGTAGCCGGGTCCACCCAGGCCCAGGCTAGTGGCACGTGGTGCTCGGTGAGCCTCGCGCATGGCAAAACCCTAGGTCGTAGCGGATGCTGGCGGCAGAAGGCATGGAGGCGATGGAGGCCGCCCCCTCTCCTCCGGCCCTCGCCTGCTCCCCTCTGCCTGAGACCCGGCGGCTCCGAGGCTGGCCTGCCATCCTTGTTGGCAGACGGAGAAGGGCCTTGCCCTCCCCTCAGCCTCCTCTCTGGGCCGTTAGGAGGAGGGAGCAGGCGGGTCAAGGAGCGGGAGGGTGGCTCTGAGCTCAGGGGCTACCGGGGCCAGGGGCTCTGTTTGCGAGCCTCGCCTCCCGCCCCATGCCCTCGGCCCCACATCCTGCCGCAGGCTGGAAGGTAAGTGGCCAGCTCGGAGCTGCTGTGTGTCGTAGCCCAGGCCTCCAGTGCACCACCAACAGTAAGTCAGAGCCCGAGGGCCGAGGCACGGTGTCCGCCAGCCAGGAGTCAGGCACAGTAAGGGAGCGAGTGGCCCTCGTGTGGCATCGAGGCCCGCCAGGGCCGCCGAGGAGGCCCGCGGCGAGGAAGGGCGCGCCGGCCCACACCCGCTGGGCCCCGCTTGGACTCCTCGCGGTAAGCTGTCCGTGTTGTTTACAGATCACCAACCTCAGGAGCCGCATCGACCAGGCCCAGAAGCAGTGAGTAGCCTGCCCGAGCTGCGCTCTGCTCAGGGCCACGGCCCCAGGGGACGGCTGCCCCTGCCCACGGGGCAATTTTAGCCAGTCCCCGGGCGGCCAGCCCTCAGCAGAGCAGTAACAGGACTAACCGCCAGCCACTCGAGCCAGCATGTGGGACCCCCAGTCTCCTTTCCACGCTGCCCCAGAGCCCAGGAGGATGGCACAGGGGTGGAGGGTAGGCCAGCAGCAGGCCTGGGGGCGGTTCTGGGCGGCCTTCTGAGTGGCCTGGAAAAGGCAGCCTGGGCTCCTGGGCATCCAAGCAGTGTGTCACTTCCAAGGTGACCTGGGACAGGGGATGAGGCGGCCTGGGCCTTGTCACCAGGTCCTCTGCAACCCTGGATCCTTGGGACAGTGAATCTCTATCTGTAAGATCAGCCCCCGAGTCCACTGGTCCCATTGCAACAGCTGCTGGGAAGACCTGCAGGGGCCAGTGCCCACCCCTGGGCCTGGCTGCTGCTGGTTTGCGGCTTTGTCCCCAGGCCTGGTCCCTGGGCAGTCACACTCCGGGCAGTGCAGTGCCCCATGGACGGCCTGGAGTTGGGAAGCTTAAGGTTTTTCTCTGCCTCCTGCTGCTCCCTGGATGGGCCCCTCCTCCCTGGCTCTGTTGCGTGGGGCAGGGGCTGATGCAGGCCCCCAGAGCGGGCCACTAAGCTGGGTGTGCACATGCATGTGTGTGTGTGTGTGTGTGTGTGTGTGTGGATGGGTACATGCATGTAAGAGCTCGCAGGCTGGATCCTGTGGGACACGGGACATGGGCACGGCCACCAGCACCCAGCCTTCTCCGGAAGCCACCCTTGGGAGCAACTTTGCTTTCCCCAGCCAGTCGTCCAAAAAGGGGGCCTCCAGGCTCACACACTCTGGTCCTTGCACCCACCTCGCCTAACCCAGCACCCAGCTTGCCCCTGGCTCACTGGGGTGCAGAGAGCCTCAGACAGAAGGGGCAGGCCCCTAAGAACTGCCACCTCAGGGGTGGTGACCTCCTGACCCTAGGGTCCAGCTCTAGCCAGTGGCCAAGTGACCAAGACTCTGGAGGGAAACAGAGGCTCCCAGGTCCTGAGTCCATAAGGTCGGGACTGTGGACCTGGAGTGAAGGACCAGGGGGCTCGTTCCTTCCAGGGCACAGTCCCTAAGCGGGGCCCCTGGGGCAGGAAGGGAGGTGGGGAAAGGTGCCCCCCACACGCTGTGCCAGCCCCTCTCCTAACCACACTAACTGCCTCGGCACCAAGCCGCCCAGGCCCAGCCGGGCCAGGTACAGGTGAGTCGCTGCCACGTGGATGGAGCCAGGGATGTGTGCTGGGGGCTTCAGGGGACAGGACAGTCCCCTCGCTCTGGGTGGGCAGAGCTGTGAGGGCTGGGGGTCTGCCAGGGGCTGGGAGGGGGCTCAGCCAGGGTCCTGGACACCCTGATGCTCAAGACCGACTTGCTTCCCACTTGCAGCAGCAAGAAGGCCGGGGCCACGGCCAAGGGCAAAGTCGGCGGGCGCTGGAAGTAGAGCAGCCAGAGAGGGCCCCCGAGGCAGAGACCACAGGACGGTGCAGCCCCCATGGTGGCGTCTGGCCCCCAGGCCTGGGGGCGGGGGGCTAATTCTGGAGCACCCTCCACATCTCTGTCCTCGCTGCCCCTGTCCCCCGGGGTCTGTGAATAAAGCTGTCAGACTCCCCTCCACCTGGTGTGCGTTGGCTCCTTGTGGGGGTGCAGGGTGGGGGGTGAAAAGGGGACAGAAGCACCGGGGGCCCAGGGGACACTGGGTGCTGTGAGAGAGAGACCAGGGGGCTGTGACCGGACTCTGCATGGATGCGGGGCCTGGGCTTCCCGCCTGGCTCTGCCCGTGGCTTCCACCCCGAGAAGCCCCTTCGGTCCTGGGCCCCTGGGTCAGCTCCGAGGCCGGTTTGGGGCCGACGCGTTTGCCACTGGAGAGGCCCGGCACACAGTGGGAGACTTTACAAACGTCCCCCAGAAATGTGGGGGCCGAGGGAGATCCGTACCGGGTGGGGGGCGCAGCCGGGGGCTCTGGGAGGGCCCCACCCGCTGAGGGAAACAGGCGGAAAAGCACGTTTCGGTGTGAGCAGCGGGCAGACAGACCGCTCTTTCTATGTTATAAGAGAACACAGTGCACACTGTGTAATAAATTTGAAAATCCTGACCCAACGGAATTATGGAAAATATAAATCAGAAAAATTGGATCAAGACGCACAGCCTGCACAGCCAGGTATTCACGGAGGAAGCTTCCGGAGTCCGGAACGGCCTCCAGGAAGGCTCCGCNCACCGCCGCGAACCCCAGAGCCTATCGGCGCACGTGCGAGCACCCCGACACACACATGCCCCCTCAAACACTGTGTCCTGTGTGTGGGCACCCCACGTGCACTCTTAACCCGCAGCACACACATACCCCACGCTCCCCCAACACGCGTGAGCGCCCCCTCCCCACACACTCGACCCCGGGCTGCGGAGCAAACACACGGAGTGGCCGGCAGGCTCTACTGCAATGCTGCAAAGACCCACGGGTGCTGTGAGGACCGACAGGCCCCACGGACCCGAGTGGCCACCAGGCCACGCACAGCAGCCTGTGAGCCGAGGCGACTGAGCAGCACTGAGCTGGCAGGAGGCAGAAGCTGCCCTGGGGGGACCGTCAGCACCCACGGGTGTGAGAATCAGCTCCGCCGGGGGCTCTGCAGGCTCAGAATAGTGTGAGTTTCATGGCAAAGGGCAGGACCACGGACAGGACGAACAGGCCGAGGTCCGAGCGGGGCCTGCAGAGCCACCTCGCGGTCACGGCGAGGTCAGGGGGGTCACAGGCGGCGGGGGCCCGGCCGCGGACGCCGACGGCCCCGCGCCTCGGAGCATGTGTGCGCCGCGGGGACGTGGAAGCCCTAACGGGAGGGTCCCCCGGCCACGGCCGCCCCTCGGGGGCAGCTCGCCCTCGGCCACGAGAGGTTCGGAGACGCGAAAACCTGGGCTGGGGAGCTCCTGGCGGCAGAGGGGGTCGGGGAGGGAAGCAGGACACACTTCAGAACCGGAGGGTCGTTCGTGGGAGGTCGGGAGACAGAACCGGCTGCGGCCCCGCGGGCCCCGCGGGGGAAACGCCGGGGCGCGCGGCGGGGAAGGGAGAGAGAGGGCCCCGGACCTTAACAAGTTCAACATCTAGTGCACGAAATTAAAAAAAACGACCCAAAACCCTAAAATAATAATAAAAAAGAACAGCATGAAACAGCAAGAAGATAAAGTAAAATAAAACATGGAGGCCTGGGGCGGGGTGGAGGGGTCAACGGGGGAAGAAAGGGAACATCTGTAACACGTTCAACAATAAAGACGCCATTTAAAAAATTCACGGGCAAGAGCCACAGGGTTGAAACGGGCTCTGCGGAAAAAGCGACACCCCGGTAACAAACGAGGCGGGCGGGGGGGTGCCGCGGGGATGGACTTGGGAGCGAAACAGCACCGTAAGCAACTTTTTGACAAATGCATTTGAAAACGAGATACAGTGGCCGGCGTCCAGGGGAAACGTGACTTGCTGTACTGACTCAGAGCGAAGCGCAGAACTTCATTTTAAAGCTGCTGAGCCAGCAGTTAGCTATCTCCCCACCGAAAAGCACGGAGGATTTTTTTTTTTTTTTTAATTTTTATTTTTGAATCGCATCCCGGGCCCGGGGCACGGTGCCTCTCTATCGCTGGGACGGCTCTGTATCAGCAAACGGGTCCGTGCGACAAGTCACGGAAGAAACAGCTTAAAGGCTGTTGGGGGCGCGGGG